TGGATGAAGATAATGGAAGGGATCAAGGAGATAACAAGAAATGGAGCGAAGTTCATGGATGGACAAGAGAAGGAGTTTGATTCGATAATCTTAGCGACCGGGTACCGGAGCAATGTGCCAAGTTGGCTCAAGGTATCCGATATAATATAATTTATTGCTCATAAAATTCGTATTGTTTCGGTTTGGACAACGGATGTTCTCGAGTAATAAATTTAGAGTTTAGGGTTTAGTTTAATGGATGTGTCTAAGGATTATGATTTGCAGCATGGGTGTGATTTTTTCACGAAAGACGGGATGCCGAAAACCTCGTTTCCGAACGGGTGGAAAGGCGAGAGGGGGTTGTACACGGTCGGGTTTACTAAGAGAGGGCTGCTCGGAACCGCGTCGGATGCCATGAAAATTGCCGACGACATTGCCGAGCAATGGCGGGCAGGGTGGAATGAGGATGACAAGAATAAATCTTCGTACGTAATATTCGTTAAAGAATTTGAAAAAAAATGAAGTAATTTTGGAATGAGACCGTTTTGGGGTTGATTTGTAAATACATCAATTTTGAACGGGGCGTATAATGCCTTGTTACCAATGAAACTTGAGAAAGCTTTGTAAAAAAAAAAAAAAAAAAAAAGGGAAATTGTCAAATAGAATGTAACTATTTTCAAATACGTCCTCGAATTTTAGTTATTTATGTAAATATCCCACCGGGTGTCATGGAAAATAGAATAAAATAGTAAATTTTGATTGAGGGTAAAAATAATAATAATAATAAATTAATTAATTAAGTCTCTCAAGAATCACTACTGAATGGGTGTGATGTTCTAATAATTCAAATTCACTACGAGTAGATATCATTTTTTTTAGCTTTTTTGGGCTTCAATCCAAACCCACCTTTATCAGATATTGTTCTTTTTGGATTTTTCCTTTCGGGATCCCTCGGTGTTTTTAAAACGCGTCTTTTAAGGAAAAGTTTCCACACTCTTATTAAAAAAATCGATGTGCAATCTCACAATCCACTTCTTTCAAGGCCCACATTCTTAATGACGCACGTTCCTCTCTCTAATCAATATAAAATCTCACCGACGTTATTTAGGTTTTAGTCTGTGTTTAAATCACGGACCCACCATTTTAGGTCTTAAGAATTTTGGAGGGTTGGAAACAAAAGGAAAGAGTGATGGAGTTGTTGTGAGCTAATCTCTGTGGCTCTCTGCCGCCATAAGACAACCTATGAGCTAAGCTCAGCTCCAATACGCGAGCTGAAACAAACACACTATCCCAAAACACCCCCATCCCTATCACATCCTTCCATGCTTACGTCACCCTTCCCCTTCCCCTTCCCTTTTATTTTTTATTTTTATTTTATTTTTACATAAATACAAATATTATTTCTTGGCAGATAGACACAGAGACAGGTTTTATTATTATTATTATTATTTCAGTCTTCTTCTTACAATTCTTCCATCTCATCTGTTCCCATCTCTCCCTTTCGCGCGTGGTTGCTGCGCGCAGTTTGTTACAAGTATGCGAGTGGAATTCACGCGCCCTAAGAGAGAGTGACCTCGGGGAGCCCAATAAACCATATACACATATAAGTTGGCATGACATGGCATGCATTTGTACTCATGAATCACTGGAGCTCACCTGCATGCATGCCATCCCCCATGCAAATAAATACACCACCTCTCAATTTGTATCGACCAACTTCATTGATTCATTTGGTATATTATCAATTATCTCGAAAATAGTCGTGTAGATGGAACGTTCACATTTTTATACTAGTTATAGTTTCAACTGGTTGATTTAGATAGACTTAGAGCACACGACTACATAACTTTAAAGCTAAAAATTTCTACTATACTATATATAGTTGCACGGGTCAAAACATTATTAGCTAAAATCTCTGTCTTTATTATCTTCCTCTCTCGTTGTACGGTGATTTTTATTTCCTTATTTCAACTAGTCTTGAGTGTGGAGACCGGGTAGAGGCTTCCTTTGTCGAACTCTCGTCTCACCCGCCCGTTTGACTTTTGGCCTGAATTTGAGTGTTTGACTAATCCAAAAACGAACACTACATTTTATATCTTCAAATTATTTATTGAGTCTAATTCAAAATAATTTTTTAAAAATGGAAAAACCAGGTTCGTGTCCGGTAAAATCTGAGCGAATAGAATGGGCCGAGCCATTACGAATTTATTTTAATGGGCCCACGCCATTTTAATGGGCCGGCCCAATACTTTAAATTTTATCCAACTCATTCATCAAAATTCAATACATGAGTTTGTTAGTTATCTCTTTTTGCGGAAAAAAAAATTATATAAAAATGATCTGTTAAAAATCATGCTTAACTAGTTCAATTTGAGGTATAACTTAATCATGAATATATGTTTTTTTTAATTTATTTTATCTAATAGGTCTGTTCCAGCTCGTTTGTGTTATACCAATTCTGTGGATAAATAAATGCAATTCATGTCGTATTCAATAGCCAACGAATTTATCAATTATGGGTTAGGAAACATTAACCATCTCATCGGTTCATAATGTTCCAATTTTAAATATTTAAAATCTACTGGAAAAAATAAATTTGTTTTTCAATTTCATATAGTATACCTAAAATTCAAATATAACAATTAGATTAGGTTTAAAAAATGTCTTAATCTAACCAAATTCAACCTATGGACACCTCTATTTTTTAGGGATGTTCATATGACCGATAAATCTGACTAGTTTGGACTATCTAACCCAAATCGTAATGGTTGGATTGGGGTGAACTCTTAGAAAATTGAAATTGGGTTAAGGTCAACCCAACCAACTCGAAAATAGAATTCAAATTCAACTCCACTGTATCTTATTTTTAAGATTATTATGAAAATCAATAATATTTAACGCTGGTAACCAATTTTAGTGATGCTCTGTGAGTTGTGAATGTTTAATATGTGAACCTTTCAATATTTTAGTTATTAATGTAACATGTATGGTAGATAAATATGATTTAAAAAAGAAAAACGGACAACTCAACAAAACCTGGAAATAGAGGTTTTTTTGGATTAAATTGGATTGTAAACTCTATTCGGGTTGTTTGGGTCCCAAACTCAATCAACTCGAAATTTCGGGATGGTTAAAAGATTTTCGGAACCCAACCCTAAACCTAACTCAAGTATATCTCTACTAATTTTAGGGTAAAATAATTATCTAATAAGAATAGAGCACGTGGCAAATGGAAAATTGAGCGTGAAAAATAATGGAATAATGCATGCTCATATTTTATTATTATTTTTTTTACCTACGAGAACATTAATTACTTTTTTCTCACTTTCCCTTTTTCTTATTTTAATTTTTTATATTTTTTAAAACCATAAAAATAATATAATTTATTATATTCTCTCGTTATCTTGTCTTATTTTTTCCAACATTTTTTTATTATATAGTTTATTTTTTGTTCTCATGTCATTATTCATTATTTTTATTAAGATATTTTGTGTTACATTTTGCACTAATATGGTCTAATATCCAAGAATATCTTCTTATTGTTTAATTATTAATCGTACACTCGTTGACCACATTTTTTTATTCATAAATTATTAAAAAATTATATTTATTTTCCAACACTCCAATACCATTATTATATCTGGTTTTAATAATTAATAATGGTTATATTTGCGAAATCAAAAGTAAAATCACGAGAAGGTAGGTTGTCCCTAACATCCTAACATGTCAAAAGGCATAAATGTTGGATTCCGACCCTTGACAACACAAGGGATAGCTACAAAATTTGTGACACCCGAGTACTGGGAGGTACATGAATGAACCAATACCACATGGAAATAAGAGTGATTCTAAAAATAGGATAATTAAGAAAAACTTAAAAGAATTAAAGACACTATCTATACCAACAAGGTGCACGTTCTATCTCGATGACTCAATCATGGAAACTCACAAGTTCAATGTGTTTTATTTTGAGTAATTCTATGTTGGGTGATGACAAAGTATACAATAAACGTCGATACCGCTCAAGAATAGAAAATTAAGCTACTCGGTACTAGAGTATGTTCTCAATCTTGTTAAAAAAAAAAATTATTATTTAAAAACAAGACTGTCTTATATAAATTAAACTATATTCAAGTTGAGGAATAGATCATCATCTTGCTCATAGAATAATTTATAAATAATATAATATATATTTTTTAAAATAAGGAATTATATATCAATTTATAATAAATTACCGAAAATCTCCACAAAAATTGGTTAAATAATAAACTTACCTAGTATAATTTACCAGAAAAAGACATGACATCCCAAAATAAATATAATAAATTGAAAGTTGAAACTTGGTTGAAAAACATTTAAACGACACAAAATATATTTAAGCATAAAAAGGAAAAAAAAAAGAAAAAGAAAAAGAAAAAAGAAAAGACTTGAAAATTAAATACCAAAGACAGGGTCAAATTAGGTATTCTGCAATTTCTTAACCATGGTCAGAGTCGGACCAACAAGCAGTCCTGAAACCGTCTACCACGAGGCAACGCACGGGAACCAAATATTAATTTAAAACAATACACGAGGCGGTTTTACAATTAAGAAAAGAATATCATTGGGCGTTTCTGTAATTACAGTAAAGTTCAAACCCCATATTGAAAACCCATGAGCAGATCAAGGCAGAGCGAAAGTACGAAATGACCCTTTTTGTTTTGTACCTAAAATCCTCGGGATATACCGAAAAATTTGATTTTTTCAGGAGGGGTACAATCGTCATTTCGTAGGATAAAAGGCATTATTACGATTTAGTCTCATTTTGTCGAAGGCCCACGGATATGAGGAAAATAAATTTTCAGCTCTCTCGAAATAAAAGCAGAAAGCTTGGGAACAAAAATACGTTTTTGGATTGCAGGTATCTATTTCGATCCTTCCTTGAAATAAAAAATTATTTTATATAAATGTAAAAAAAAAAAAAAAAAAAATGGTAGATGTAATAATAATAATAAAATTAATATACGGCCTTACATTCTCTATACTTTCATTGCTGGAATCAGAGGCTCTGCTTCTATTCTATTGCGTAGATTCTCTCCCTTCTGCAGTTCTTGCTAATTTCTTCCTTTTTTCTGGATTCTTCTATGGTTTTGGCGAAAAGGGTTTTGATTTTTCGCTTCTGGGTTTGGTGATTTTGGCCGAGAAAAGCTCATTTAGAGCTGCAGAAGCTTGTTTGTTCAAGAATCTATCAGTTTATTTGATTTTATCCATCACTCTGCCACTGTTTGGATTCGAAAAAGATGTCTCAAACCAACTGGGAAGCTGATAAAATGTAAGTTCGTTCTGTGTTTTGCTTCATATTCCCATTTTATTGTTACTTCAATGAGTTTCTTCTCTCCTCTTTGTTGATTTCGTATTGGGGTTTCTGTAATTTTGATTTTGTTGCTTCTTTATAGCATTATAAATTTCGATATCTCGATTTGTTTTCTTGAAATTTTGCGCGCCAGTCTTTGGCATTGGGATTACTTCGTTTTGGAGGATTTAGGGTTCATGTTTTCTCTTAATCATTTGATTTCAATTTACCCCATGACTTGTCTGTTAATTTCTTATGCCTTAGTGTTCATATCTTGTTAATGGATATGAATTTTCAATTACCCTTTAACTTGGAATTTTGTTCTTGTTCTTGTTCTCGGCGCATGGCTATGTAACAGGTTAGATGTGTATATTCACGATTATTTGGTAAAAAGAGATATGAAGGCTACTGCTCAGGCTTTCCAAGCAGAGGGAAAAGTCTCTTCGGAGCCTGTGGGTGAGTGTTTTTGGATGTTTTTTTTCATCTGTTTGGTTCAATATGGAGTGGTATTGTACCGTTTGTTCATGTTGATATTGATTTTCGAGTTGTGGGTTACAGCAATCGATGCGCCTGGAGGCTTTCTTTTCGAATGGTGGTCGGTTTTCTGGGATATATTCATTGCTAGAACCAATGAGAAACACTCTGATGTTGCTGCATCTTATATTGAGGTTTGTTATAAGATTGCTGTTCTAAGCTATTGATTTCTTTTCTTTTGTTACCGTTTTGGAGTTGAATGTGTTCGTTGTTGACTTAAGTCTATATTGGTCAAACCCGGTGTCTTCTTCGAAGTTTTTGATTGAAATGTAACATATATGGATGAGAACAATCCCTTCTTAAAAGAAGAGTCACTGTTTCAGTGCACATATATTATTTGATACCATGAAAACCATTGAAATATTCCCTCGTGTCGACAAATTCATCCGCAAAAGATACTTACGGTGTATGAACTTTCTAGACACAATTAATAAAAGCTAGAGAGCAACAGCAACATCAGCAACATCAACAGCAGCAGCAGCAGCAGCAAACACAGCCACAACAACAGCAACCGCAGCACATGCAGATGCTACTGATGCAGAGACATGCCCAACAGCAGCAGCAGCAGCAACAACAGCAACAGCATCAACAGCAACAGCAGCCACAGCAGCAACAACAACAGACTCAGCAACAGCAACAGCAGCGGAGAGATGGAGCCCAACTCTTAAATGGTACTTCAAATGGTTTTGTTGGAAATGATCCTCTTATGCGCCAAAATCCCGGTTCTGTGAATGCATTGGCTACAAAAATGTATGAGGACAGATTAAAACTGCCCCTTCAGAGGGATTCACTCGATGATGCGGCTATGAAAGTAGGTATACTGGCTAGATTTTTGGCAAGAAAAAGGTTTTGTTACATTTTCTTATTGTTCTTCCTCTGTAAATCTTACAGCAAAGGTATGGGGAAAATGTTGGGCAGCTGTTAGATCCAAATCATGCTTCGATTCTGAAGTCAGCTGCAGCAACCAGCCAGTCGTCAGGGTGCTTTCCTCGTAGATATTTCTTTCATTATCACTGCATTCACGTGAAACGAAAAACAATGACCATGCGCATATAAAGACTTTCTTGCTGATTATTGATGAGTTTGATTTACATTTGATGGGATATTTTACATAATTATATTTAATTTCATGGGAGGAAGTGACTTAGGTATTAATATTGTTGCATGATGAGAATCTGCAGAAATTCCTAAGAATTGCACGTTGGATGTCACTAACCGTTGCATTGGATGCCTGTGCGCTATCTTGCCGCTCATGAGTTCTAAATTTTAATTACAGGCAAGTGTTACATGGTACAGCTGGGGGAATGTCTCCTCAAGTTCAATCGAGGAGCCAACAATTGCCAGGTTCCACACCGGTACGGTACTTCTATTAAGTTCATTATATGCTATATTGTTTCCCTTTTTCTTGAAAAATTTGTAAATGCAGGATATAAAGAGTGAGATCAACCCAGTTTTGAATCCTAGAGCTGAGGGATCACTGATGGGTATTCCTGGTACTGTCAAAATTTTGATGTTTTGAGGACTTATCGTGTTCATAAATTGTGATTGGAATCCTTGAAACCTGTGTCTTAATCACTCAATCGACAAATCGTCTTACATTTTTAATGAAAATATCTTTCAGGATCAAATCATGGTGGCAATAATTTGACCTTAAAGGGATGGCCCCTCACTGTATGTTTTTAATACAGTAATGTGTAAAATGTATGGATTCCAAGTTGATGGGGTTTCTCATTCGTTTCCCCCTTTTTCTTTTACAGGGACTCGAGCAGCTACGTTCTGGGATCCTTCAGCAACCGAAACCTTTCATACAGGCTCCTCAACCTTTTCCTCAGCTTCAGATGTTGACACCGCAACACCAACAACAACTTATGCTCGCACAACAGAATTTAACGCCACCTTCTGTTAACGATGATGGTAGAAGATTGAGAATGCTTTTGAATAGTCGAATGACGAAAGATGGACTTCCAAATTCTGTTGGTGATGTTGTTCCAAATGTTGGATCTCCTCTCCAAGCTGGCAGTCCTCTCCTGCCCCGTGGAGACAACAGTGACATGATGATTAAGGTGTTAATTTACTCTGCCAATTACTTTTTTACGGACGGTTTCAGTTTTTGTTTTAGCGCACATTATAGACTTCGTGGTCCAGTTTTCTAAGCATGTCTTGTTTTCCTTAGATTAAAATGGCTCAATTGCAGCAGCAACAACAGAATAGCAGCCAACAACAACAACAACAACAACAGCATTCTCTTTCAAATCAACAATCACAAAGCTCAAACCACAATATGCACCAGCAAGAAAAAATCGGGGGTGCTGGCAGTGTCACCATGGATGGTAGCATGACAAACTCATTTCGTGGAAATGATCAGGTTTGGTAGTGAATATTGATCATTGATCAGTCAATTTACTGTTGCTAAATCATCTGTATCTTTCTACAATACATTTTGAATGTTAACAGGTTGTCTCTAGCACGATATTGAGTGCCTCTTGTAATTTCAAATATTAATGTTATGTGTTTGTCTGTGTGTATCTGTTTAGTTATATTCTCCGTTCGCTCGTTCAACTGATGATTCTTGCTAGTAATATGACAAAGAGGATGTTTAGGCTGGCATTTTGATAATTCCCTTTTTGTGATAATTCCCTTTTTACAGGTTTCAAAAAATCAGCCTGGGAGAAAAAGGAAGCAGCCATTGTCGTCTTCAGGTCCAGCAAATAGCTCAGGAACAGCGAATACAGCAGGTCCATCCCCAAGTTCTGCTCCTTCAACTCCCTCAACTCACACACCTGGAGATGCAATCTCAATGCCTGCTTTGCCTCACAGTGGTAGTTCATCTAAACCTTTGATGATGTTCAGTAGCGACGGCACTGGCACTTTTACATCCCCCTCGAATCAGTTGGTAGGTGGAGCTTGGTAGTTGTTTGTATCAAAGGAATTATAAACAATTCCTTTTGCACTTGCTCATTGGCATTCCATTTTGGCAGTGGGATGATAAAGAAATTGAATTGCAGGCTGATATGGAACGCTTTGTGGAGGATGGGTCTCTTGATGACAACGTCGACTCTTTTTTATCCCATGATGATACGGACCCTCGAGATCCTGTAGGGCGCTGTATGGATGGTGGAAAAGGTGCCGTAAATGCTATACCTTGCTTTCTTCTTGTTCTTCTGCTTGTTTCTTTGCAATTGCCAGTAAGTAAATGAATATTTGGGAGTGACTAGTATTTTATCTGCCCCGAGTGATATAGTAGTTGTACAAGCACTTCGAGAAGACCCTGTTAGATGCTTTGTGGCACCGCACCATGCGTACATCTCTAGACTTTGTCTCTTGGCTTAACATATCTTAATCGGCGATTTGAACGAATAAAAAATGGATAATTAACCTCTAGATAATTGAACATTGTTTTTGAGATTGGTCTACTTTTTTGTATTTTATCTTTAAGGAGTGAATTTAACCTTCAGGATTCACGTTTACGGAGGTGAATTCTGTTCGAGCAAGCACGAGCAAAGTTTCAGCTTGCCACTTTTCATCGGATGGAAAACTGCTTGCTAGTGGTGGCCATGATAAAAAGGTGAGAACCCAATGACGATGACCTGTACTGTATATCAAGAGTGTTATGGTTAAAATATTGCATGTAAGATTTCAAAGATCCTGTTATTGGTTGCAGCATTGGTCAATCCATGTGTCGTTTTTGACGGGTTTATTATGATGGTTCTGCAGGCCGTGTTGTGGTACACAGAAAATTTAAAACCGAAAACTTCACTTGAAGAACATCTTTCCATGATCACTGATGTTCGTTTTAGTCCTAGCATGCCCCGTCTCGCAACATCATCGTTTGATCGAACAGTCAGGGTTTGGGATCCCGACAATGTTAGTGATCATCTATCTGTCTTTCTCTCGAGTCTTTATTCCTTAATTATTGGTCTTGCATCATTCAAATAACCTAGATAACGTTCACAAGTATATTTGCGTATGAAGAACGGATAACGCTTACCATACATTTTTATAATTCGACCTGCAGCATTGTTATTCCCTACGTACTTTTACGGGACATTCTGCATCTGTTATGTCTTTGGACTTCCATCCAAAGAAGGACGACTTTATTTGCTCGTGTGACGGTGACGGTGAGATTCGATACTGGAATATCACTAATGGCAGCTGTGCAGCAGTATTCAAGGTATCTTGGTTTATAACTAACTAATCCTTTTCTCCATGCTCTTTGTTGGTCGATGCTGAAAAATCGGTAATTATTTGCATATTGACTCTAGTACATAGTTTCTAAATTGCTTGTGTAAATTAGGGTGGTACTGGCCAGTTGAGATTTCAACCTCGGCTCGGGAGATACTTCGCTGCTGCTGTAGATAATATCGTTTCAATTTTTGATGTCGAGACACAAGCTCGTCTGCATTCGTTTCAGGTCTGTTTATATTTGAAGTTGTTCCACCTATTCTTGGTTTTTAACCGCTCATTTAAGTAGTTGATATAGCTCAATTAGTTTAGACATATACCTTTGACCGACCATGTTGTTGGACTCACAGCTCATCTCATTATGCTTTTTCAGTGCCAATTTGTTGCATAGTTATGTTTCTGAAATTTCATGTGCATCAACTTACCTTTTTGGATGAAATATGTGGTTCTAAGTATAGGGACACACCAAAACGGTTAATTCTCTTTGTTGGGATCCTTCTGGAGAGTTCCTGGCATCTGTTAGCGAGGATTCGGTTCGAGTATGGACACTTGCTTCGGGCAACGAGGGCGAATCCATTCACGACTTGAGCTGTAGCGGCAATAAGTTCCACTCGTGCGTTTTTCATCCCATCCAATCTAGTTTACTGGTCATTGGATGTTACCAGGCAAGTCCAATCTTGTTGATTAAGCTTCAAAGGATGAATCAATTATTCCCCTCTCACCTCCATTTTTTTTGCTGCAGTCATTAGAGCTTTGGAACACGACCGAAAACAAGACAATGTTCGTATCAGCTCATGAAGGTTTAATATCTTCGTTAGCAGGGTCTACAGCATCGGGTCTGGTTGCTTCGGCCAGCCACGACAAGTTCATCAAGCTGTGGAAGTAAAACAAAGAAAAAAAGACGAAAACCCGAAAACGAAGAAAAGGTAATCATCACATCACACTACTACTAGAATTAAAAGCTGAAGCAGTGAGTGATCTGGTACTGGCTTGTTTTTTTTAATCAGGACTTGTAATTTTTGTTTGTTTTTTGTTCCTGTTTTGGGTTTAGTAGAATATGAACTCTGACATAACTGTTGTTCTTGTAATTGGACACCCATCCACTGGTAGAATGTATACTATTTACTCTTCCCCTTGCTCTTCTGAAAAGCCTTTAGCCTCATTATTGATGTACTAGCTAGAGAGAGCAAGAACATGGCTTAAAGCTTACCAGAAAAAAAGGCAAAAGGGAAATGAGTTGTGTTTGATAAAGCTGAATGTTGAGGAAAAGTGGTTCTATCATTTATGATAAAGAAAGGCTATTTAGTGGAAATGATTTCAATGGTTGATCAATAGCCCTACACCCCCCCTACCTTTTTCGGTTCTCGGGAGTTTTGAACAAGTATATATGCTTAAACGAATTGAGCTTAGCTTGCTTTCTATGAGTTACGTGTAGCCCGTTCTCGAGAACATCTGGTTTCTTGATTCAAAGTATACATTTGGTTTCTTGATTAAGTTATATGCTTCAAAAGAACTTAAATATGATTTTAGGGCATTTTTAAAATTTTTGAATTTTAATTTTGTTATAGTATTAACTCCAAAAAATTGAATTTTTTTTAAAAAAAATGAATTACCAATAATAAAATCCATGAAATAGTTATGAGAGGTATAATTAAATTTAACACAAAATCTAAGAAAATACGCCATTAAAAATGTAATTAAGACAAATAATAATTTTAAATAATGATTTGAATTGTAAGGGAGAATAAAATTTAAACTAATAAAATATATTAATTTAACTTTAACACAAAATTAGAGAATAATTCCAAATATACCCTTCGCAAAATTAGAGTATTGATAAAAATGGAGTTTTTTTTATTGGCTATTTTTGGCGATACACTCCAATTTCCTTCAAATTTAGTTCAGCGATGTATCGACCTGCTTTTAATCTTAAATGGGCCAGGCCCATTTAAGTCACGGCCCAGTACGAAGCGATGGTGCTCCGATCCATACTTCTGCCCGCCGATCACCTGGAAGAAGAAGAGGATCCTCTTCTAAGCGGTTCATATAAAATTAGCAATTTTATTGACTTATCGGAGTTCCATTTTCAGGCGACATTGACCTTTGCCATTCGATCAGTTTCGACGGCGTTCGGAAACCCGTGATTTCTTCATCCGAGAAGCTGGCTTCCGGCATTCCCTGCTGCATCAAACCGTAACAGGTGTGCATTATCAATTCGATGTTATCCCTCTCCTTTTATACCATTTCCATGCTGAAAGTGAGGGACGGAACTTTCTGATGAACTTCTCGAATCATAAATTAATTGTTAGCGTCGATTTTAGAGAATTGAATGAGCTTTAATTTGATTGGAGAATGACTTGTATATCGTTGTGATTCATGTACGATTAATTACAGTGTCTTCTGTAGAGGTCGTATTTTCCTTCGTCCGGTTGCTTTCCATCCGCATCAGTGGTCCGTGTAATGTCTGAGGCGATCAAGAGCCAGGTACTTAGTCTTTGTATTGTATCAGTTGTGATGGTTAGGTTCGGTAAATATCAATTCTGTGTTAGGAACTTTGGGCTTGGACTTGCGGCGTGTTTTTGCTGGTAGTATTGAGAGTTCTTAAAATAGTCTTGATGTTTTTCAGTATGTTGTCTAATTTCATACTGCTGTGGCGCTCACTTACTGGAAATCACAGGGTACTTGCAGTGAGCGCTTGATTGAGGAAAACAAATGTTTACAATCCCTTCAGGTGGATTCCGACAATGGAGTTTCAATGGATATACTAAAGGAGGACGTGGATGAACTGGTCGGAGTTTTTAAAAATCATTTCCTTTTCCTTTTTTTCTTCCTTTTCAAGTGTATAATAGGATCTATCATGGCTTTTGTTTGAAGTCCTGAGTTCTCAAGATCACTAAAAAGCGTATATTAGAATATAATTTATCAAGCATAATTATCAGTTTTCTCTTAAGAAATTTTTTCCCTTGATGAATTTCTTTCTCGTTATTTCCGGTATTTAGAACCAGAAGAAAGTTGCAGTGGTGAAGGACTTGCAATTTTTACAAGATAGAGTCAGTAAGGCGAATGCTAATCATGTGGTGCAGAATTTGATGTCATGCTTGAAGACTTTGGAGGTCTGCACCTTTGCTCTGCACTTACAGTCTTATTTTTTCGCTGAATAGTTTCGTCCCTCTGCATTTCGTTTGTAGTTCTTGTGATTTTCTGTAGTGTCCTTTACAATTTTATTCTAAACCGGTTTTCTGTTCCTCCTAAGGAGGCTGAAGATTTTATATTTTCTCTGATTTAGTTGAAGAGTGCTAGTCACTGAAGGGACATCTCTTGGGAAAAGTTTCTTGAACATTTTCAGGGTTCTTTGAAGTATCTTTCTCTATTTAAATCAACTAAACTTTTTTTTTTTTTTTTTTTTTTT